AAATATATATCTATAAATATGTAGACATCAGAATATACGCACTATGTATATCTAGATATAATGTGTACATATTCAAATATATAATAAATATGACTGGAACGATGGGCTTGTGCATGTCAGAGACCGAAGGATAGTACAGAGTAAGGCAAGGGTCAGATCTGGTGTTGATGGGTTAGGTATGAGTCGTACTTGACGTGGTGGCAGCTAACAACAATAACAACATCCAAGCATATGAAATATCAATATATCCTCAAATGTGTGTTTATTTAATGTTTACACCAGGAGCTCTAGTGACTTAGTGGTAAGGAATTGCGCTCTCAACACGAAGCTTTTCAGTTCAAATCCACCAGGTGCTCCGGCGGGAGAAGGATGGGCAGTCACCTCCCTTGCGATTTACTGCCTTTGAAATCCACTAGAGGGTAACTATGGGTAGGTTCCCACTCAGTAGTACACAACAATACACACACACAACATGCAAATATATAAACATATTACCAAATATATAGAGCAGTAGGAAACAGATCCTACTCCCAGCCTAGAAATCATCCTATAGCATTAAAAAAAGGCATAAATTTTTAAACAAATAGTTCAAGATATTGTAGAATGGCTCTTTGATGTTCTTCCTCTTTTTTTAAATTTTATTAATTTTAATGAACGTTTACAGAGATTTTGGATTTCCATTCATTCATTGTTGCACTTTTTCTTTTCCCACCTATCCCCCCATCCAGTTCGCTCTTCTCTTTGAAAAGTAAAAGTAAAATTCTTTCACTGGTCTACAATCCTCCCCCCACCCCAGTACTCTCCACTGTGCAACCTTCATTCTGGACTCTTGTCATGACCATGATAACAAATCAAAGGCTCTCTCGGCCACTCTGGTGGCCTCCAAAATATGGGCCAGGCTTCGTTTGCTCCTTTCTTGTTTGCTGCAGGATATGGCACCTGTGATTTGGGAGTTTAATCTTCTTTAGCTGAATTGGTGACTGTCTAGGAACATGAACTTCCAAGCCTTGCTTGTGGATAATTTGAACAAAAGAATCTCATCACTTTCACAGTGGGTGGGAGAGAGGGGGAAAAAATACCACTTCTTTCCCTGAGTCTAATTAGGGGTGAAAAGGGGGGAAAACACCCTCTCTGTGGTTATTTCCAGTCATTGGAGATTATTTCTTCTGCTACACAGAAACATCCCCATATGGGTACTCAAAAAATTTGATTTTAAAAAAATTATCGTCTTAAGAAATAAAACTTTTCTGGTGAGCCTGAGTATAAGCAACTTGAAGATTGGTGGCAAATCATTCTAATAAAGAAGCGCACATGCAAAAGTGCAAAGTGGCTTTTACTGCCTCCAAATTATTTCTAAATACCATCTAAATATTTATAATCATAAAATTGACTCTTAACTCATTATTGGCATAAAAAGCACAAAATCTTGAGGCTTGAGCCTCTAACGCAGGTACACTAGTGGAAGCATTGTTCTGGGCACTTCATTTAATCCTAAATTATAAACGGATAAGTAGTATTATTTGCCACAAAAGATCACTGATGCTGAAAACATTTTAATGATAAAATGCTTTCATCTGTCTAAATTGCTAATAATCTCCCATGCCACTGGGGAATCATTCTAGTTTGCACAAATTATTTCAGTTAATTTATCATCCAAGACCATCCAAGTCATACTATTTGGAGCAAGTAGCAGTTCTAGCATTTTCCTTACTAATTCAGAGGTCAATTAACTACACTGTCGCTCACAGCACTGAGATAGGAACCTATGAACATTGGCTTTTTTGGCAGAATTCTAACTCCTCAGCCAGCCTTGGAAATGACGGTAAATATTACCAAACAGAAGGTCTTAACATCTTTTATATATCCTCCCTAGAGGGAGAGAAAGTAGTGGAAATTAATTGTATTGGTATTGCCTCATATTTATCTGACGAACAATCGCCTCTTAGTGTTGCAATGATGGCCAAAATGGGTAAAGATTAAAACTTTCTTCTTTTTTTCCTTTTATTTCAATATTTATTCCACATAGAAGTAAGCAAAAATTAAAAAGTAATAACCTTTCAGCATTCATCTCAAAATCTCAAATAAGTTCCTACAGAGAGTAAGGATGAATCGTGGTAAGCTAAGAAAAAACTACTCAAGTATTTCTGAGTCTACTGAGTGCCTTTGCGCTAAAAAGAAATGACCAGTTAGTTGTCCATAAATCACATATACAATGCACTTAGTTCTTAAAAATGAATAAAGTGCATCAATATGGGCCCCTTCTGACTACACTTGGGTAATTATCGTTACTCACAACATCTATTTATTAACTTTGTTGTTCTAGTTTGTATATTACTCCATAATGGACAAATATAACAAAGCATAACAGCTAAAATAAAAGGAACTAATATATTTAAGAGTTTTTCCAGAGTATTTTATTCAACAAAACATTCTCTTTTATTCTGCTGACTGCTGGATCTAAAATGGCAAAAAGTGAAGAAATAGGGTCATTTAAAAAAAATAAACAGCAAAAGTATTGTCTTTTTCTCTGTCTAATTCAATCAGAGGCTTTGATTGTACAATTTGGTCTGACTGTCCAGATCTAACACTAAGTGCTCTTTGCGCTTTCTCAATTTGTCAGACATTACCAGAGCTATTCATTATTTCTGAGACCCTGGATGGGGGCAAAAAACAGATTAAAGCCACACAAAAGAGAGGATTTAGATCAACCACAGTATAAACATTTCTTAGGAGAATTAGACAGGAAAATGTATTACTTTAAGAGGGAGGATACCAAGATTATAAATTAGCTAAATATGTACATTTTAAAAATTAATAGAATTGACTATAAAAACATAGCACTTTGTTGGGAAGAAAATATAAACAAGCAAACCAAGAAATGTATTGCAAATTCCTGCTGTATGATAATATACATCTGTATACCTTATTACTGTCACATACCATAGAATCTTTAGGTATTGAAAAAGAGGTGTGTTTTCCATTTTTGTCAGAAATAGTATCTTGCTTTCTTAACTTGAATATTGAGGTAATTTTCGAGACACAATAGTAAACACTTGGCAGATACTGAATCAATCTTTGCTTGATTAGATTGGAAAGAGCTGTTTTTCTGCCATCTGCTTGTTCTGAGTGAACTTACTCTAAGATTAGTCTGAGATAGCTACAGCTGATTCCCTGATAGCTCTAGCCCTTAATGGATGAGTTTTTAAAGAAAATTGATCAAAAAACTTCCTCATTCTCCAATGCCTTCCTATTACCTAAAACCAGAATTGACCAAAGAAGGTCTTTCTGGACATTAATCCAGTCTGTTTTGCAAACAGATTTTGCAGAACTACAACTTGTAAAAGATTCTTCTGAATAGTGAGTGCTCCTGGTGTAGGCGTTGACTATTGGCTACCTCCCTAGATCTTCCTCTTGCCCTGTATCTGTGTTCATCCTTCCATGCCCTGAAAGCATGCCTTGAGTTTTACCTCTGGGGCCTCTGAAAATACTGTTTCCTCTGCCCAGAACAGGGAGCTCTGGTAACCTAGTGGGTTAGGAGTTGCGTTCAAATCCACTAGCTGCTCTACAGGAAAAAGATGGGCTGTCTTTTCCATTTTGTTTATAACTTCAGAAAACCCACTGAAGAGTCAGCTATGTGTTGGTTCCAACTTGACAGCAGTGAGTGTTTTCCTGCCTAGAATATTCTCATGAACTTTCATTTGCCTTGTGCAGCACTTTCATGGACTCCTCATCACCTTTAAGACTCAACTTAAATGGTGCTCACTTTTGGAGGCTAGATTTCCAGAAGTGAGATAAGAGTTCTTCTCATTTTTTTTCCAGGTTATCCTGTCATTTCTCTTTTCCCTCACACCCTACACAGAATAAAAAAATAAAAGTCTTATCATTTCTACTTTCAAAACCGATACAGAATCTGACCATTTCTTACCATCTCTATTGCTGCTAACCCTGTCTAGGCCACAAACACTTTCAGTCTACCCTTCTGTAATAAGCTCCAGGTGGATTTATGTCCAGTCCAGCTTCTAGATCTATTCATCACACAACATCTAGGATGTCCTTACAAACCATAGATATTGTAGGCTTGGGATCTGTACCACTACAATAAATTGTATGCTACAGTATCATTAGTTACAACATTTTTCCCCTTAGTGCATAGAAATATTATGTCTATCCTGTTCTATATTTTGTCAAATGCGCAATAGCTCTATGAAAGGTTTGGACTATTATGAAAATGAGACAGAGACTTGAAGTGAGCTGTTTGGAAGATGAAGCAACCAAAAAAAGTCCACATAGTATCTATGAAGTTCTATGAAAGGAGGTCTGCCTATACTTGACTTCTAAAACTGCTTATTACTTTTACCAAAAGACTCTTCCTTCAATATGTTCTAGCATCTCGTTAGGGAGCTCAGGTGACATAGTTACTGGTGAGTGACTCTGATAAGCCATGACTGCACATCTCTGGCAGTTTGAGTATACCAGCTACTTCTCAGGAAAAAGGTGAACAGTCTCCTGCCCTGCAATTTTCTGGCTAGGACACCTAATGGAAGACCAGCTATGTGTCGGTTCCTACTTGATGACAATGAGCCTGAGAGTGAGCATACTTGGAGGTAAACATCAACTCTCATTAGAGCCAGAAAAACACTCATCGATTTTACAGAGGAACATTTTGGAGTCCCACAACCATTACAGGATTTGCCCAAGACCATTCATTTGC